CCCGAGGTTCAGCGTTTGGTGGTTGAAGCCTCCCCGAGGGAGAATCCTGGTGCTCAAATTTCCCTCTGAAAGCAAATAGCCAAAGCCATTGCCAAATCCCTCTGCCTCAACCAGTGGGCCCTTTATTTATGACGACTTTATTTATTGTAATAAGATTTTATAGTATTTATATATATTGGGTCGTCTACTTCGTTTTCCTTTTTGTAATATTAAAATGGATACTGTATTAAATATACTATAATATATTAAGTAATATATTGTTACCTTACAGGTCTATTTTTGTGGTTGTTTTGGAATTTTTAAATAAAGTCTTGAGTGTGAACTGAGATGAAATTTGTTTTTGTTGTTTTTTTCACGGTCCACAGCCACGGGATGGTGGGTAAACTGACCTCCAGACTCGCCAGGGAGCTGGGCTGCCTAGTGGCGCTTACCTGGCAGGAAGTGACGTTACCGGCCGGTTGTTCACCTGAGGGGGCGTGGTGAGATGAGGTCACCCAGCAGGAACCAGGAGAGCTAGTTCTGCAGGCGCTGGGGGCGCTCCAGTCCTGTCCCTCCGGCTCTTGACCCAGCTCGGGCAGGGACGGGATGTTTCCGTCCCCACGGGGCCAAGGGTAGAGGGCGGGGCGGGGCGGGGCGGGGAGGACGGAATGTGCCGGAACGCCAACCCAGGCGGCCGGGGGCAAGGGGTCACCTCGAAGCCGGGTCCTCGGGGACCCTGCACCCGGCAGAGAGAGCGGGGATGGACTTCGGATTGCTTTTTTTTTTTGAAACTGTAGCTCAAGCTGGAGCGGAACTCTCGTCAACCTCCGGCCTCATCCTCTGAAATGCTGGGGGATCAAGCACAAGCCACCGTGCCCGGCCTCATTTTTTTTTTTAACCCGTAGGGTGCTCGCGCGCGAACTAGTGTGGAGGTCAGAAGAGAGCCTGCAGGAATCGGTCACTTCCACAAAGCGGGTCCCGGGGATAGAAAAGGATCTTCCTTCCCGCTTGGCAGCAAGTGCCTTTGCTTGCTGAGCCCTCACCCGCCTCTTTATGGGTTGATTTATTTATTGCCGGGAAAGAAGGGGACACTGGGTCTTCCCTCTGAACCCCGAGCGGCCTGTAACTCTCGGTAATCCTCCTGCCTCAATCTCATGAATGTTTAAGATAATAGACACGCGCCCCACCGGGTTGGGATTTAAATAGGTGTGAGGATTCTAGACGCTGGGAATCTCAGGTTCCTGACAACTCGTGGGTCCAGACACGAGAAGAGTCGCGGCCTTCTAGCATCTGCAGCCCCCAGAGCCCTGGGACCGATCGCGATCGGGCATTTCCGGAGCTACATCTGCTCGGGCTGGCAGGGCGCTTGGGCAGGGCAGCCGCGTCCTCCGACCATACAAGGCAAGAGACCGCGGCGGCGGCCAGCCCCGCCGCGCCCGGAAGCTGCCCGCGTCAGGGCCCGCGCCCCGCCCCTCCTCTTTCCTCCGCTCCCTCCCCCGTCTCAGCCTCCACCCCCTCATTCCTCCTCTTCTTTCTTCTTCTCCCCAACTCCTCCCACCGATTGCTCCTCCCGATCTGTCTCTTAGCCCCTAGGACTTTGTTGGATTTGTTTTTGAGACGGCCTCACGCTGCAGCCCTCCTTGCTAGGTCCTGTCTCCTTTCCTTTGTCCTTCCTCCCCTAAACGTACCTTAACCTCGCTCTTCTCCTCTCCCCAGCCCTGCCTGTCTTGCACTCCGTTCTCCTGACCTTTGGTCTCCTCTTCCAGGAAACGGCCTCCCTTGTGGGAAGTCTCAGGCCCCGGTATGTGGAACAAGGCTGGGAGAGGGAAACAAACGCAGAGCTCTGCATCGGGAAGGTAGAGGGAAGGAGAGCAAGCAGAGCCGGGCATTTGCGAGAGATGGAAGGGAAAAACCACACAGCTACCACCCTTGGCAACGGTCTCTCCCCACCCCAATTCTCTTGTTCTTTCCAAACACACACACACATCATGGGCTGAGGATGAAGCTAAGTGCAGAGTCCCTGCTTAGTGTCTGCAAAGCCCTGGTCTAAGACTATGACACGAAACCCCGAAGAGATAGCTCAGAGATTAAGAGAACTTGCTTCTCTTGTCAAGGACCCACAATGCAGCCCACAACTCCGGCTCCAGAGGATCCAGCGCCCTCTCCTGGCCTCCTTGGGCACTAGGCATGCTTGCAGTGCACTGTGTATGTGCAAGGGAAAGCACTCAGATGCAGAAAATAAAAACTTTTTTTTTTTTTTGAGACGGGGTTTCTCTGTAGCCCTGGCTATCCTGGAACTCTGTAGACCAGGCTGGCCTCGAACTCAGAGATCTGCCTGCCTCTGCTTCATGAGTGCTGGGATTAAAGGCACGGGCTACCACCGCCTGGCAAAACCAAATACTTTTAAAAAGAATATGACACAAGCCCATTTATTAGACACTCAGACCTGTCTTGGACACACCCCCAAATTTGTAACTCACTCCAGCTCCCAGGGCCCCTCACCGAAAGCTACCTTGCTCCTACTCAGAAGCCTAGAAGTGCCTGCTCTGCTCTCACCCCCACCCCACCCCCGCACTCAGTCCCTTTCCCCAAGGAGACCAGGGAAGCTTGTTCAAACACCAGAGTCAGATCACAAAGAGTCAAGTCCTAAATCCTTACCAACACCAGAGTCCCTGCACACACACATACACACACACACACACACACACACACACACACACCGCTGCTTGCTCTTTTCACTTGCTCCACTGACACACCGGTCTTCAGCCCTAGGGTGAACATCTCCCCTCCTCCAGGTGTTCTTTAAAGATCTTCCCTGGGGCTGGAGAGATGGATCCACAGTGAAGTATACTGACTGCTCCCACAGAGTTCAGGGGATCCAACACCCTCCTCCAGCCTCCTTGGGCACCAAGCACATGCAGACAAAACACCCATACACATAGGGCTAGGAGCCGGGCAGTGATGGCGCACGCCTTTAATCTCAGCACTCGGGAGGCAGAGGCAGGTGGATCTCTAAATTCAAGTTCCAGGACAGCCAAGGCTACACAAAGAAACCCTGTCTCAAAAAACAAAAAAGGATCCCTGACTGCCTACTCTGGTAGTCCACATCCGGCCCTACTCAACTTGCTCCACATTTACCACTACCTAATGTAAAGATACGCTTACACTCCCAGAAGGTTATGGAGGCGGGAGTTTAAGCCCAGTTTGGGCAACACGGTGAAAGTCAAAATATGTACTTAATTCATAGATTTGTAGCAGTCTCTCTGGTAGAAAGTCAAGTCCTCAGGGACAGGAAGAACGGTACCTAATGAGTGTTCAGTATGTGTTGGAAAACAAACACAAAAAAACGATTCAGAAACCTGAAAACGAGAAATATACAGAAAGAGGCAGCGCCTGTTCTAACCGTTCATCGCTAGGATCTGAGACTTAGATTCCATTCGATGCCCAGGCCACCTAATGAGGGGCGACATTGCCCCCTGGCGACCAGAATGGAACTGCACCTCCGGGGCTGCTCCAGCCGACCATTGAAAAAAGTTCACAAGGAAATAATGTTCACTCCTCAAAACTGCTGTAGGTTCCGAGACGGTAGCGCACGCCTTTAATCCCAGCGCTCGGGAGGCAGAAGCAGGCGCATCTCTGAGTTCGAGGCCAGGCTGGACTACAGAGTGAGTTCCAGGCCAGCGAGAGTGTCCGTGGTGAGATCCTGTTTCAAACGAACCGCGTGGTTGATTTATAAAATGTCAAGTCTTCTGAAACGGATGTGAGAACACAAAGCACCTCCGGTTAAAAGGGAAGAAGGAAAAGTAGTGCTCCAGGTGAGGATCGAACTCACAACCTCGGCATTGCTCCGCCTGCACTGTCATATAAGTACCGCGCGCTAACCGATTGCGCCACTGGAGCTCCGGCCGCACCCTCGCGCCACTGAATCCTTCAGTCAGTCGTAGCCGCGCGACTTTGCCGGACAGCCCCGCCCCGCATCGCATATGCAAATGCGAAGGCCTCGGACCGGCCAGTAGGAACGGGCGCGTGGGACGACGGCGGATTCTCACGCCTCGCGGGCCCCGGCTGAAAAAGGTAAAAGTCCTCCCGGCGCCTGGAATGTGGGCGGGGCCCGCCGTGGGACCCGCCCGCTCGCCGATATTCAGAGTAGGGGGCGGGGGGTTAACCCTTTGCGGGAGGGCGTGCCGGAAGGCGGCCCCTCCCCCCAGCGGGCGGGAACAGGATGTGAGCCCGAGCGGCGGCAAGGGGGAGGGGAAGCCTCGGGCGGCCGCCCCCCGCCCCACATCTGGGACCTGATTCTCCCCGCCCCAGATGCGGCGCCGCCGCCGCCCCCAGAGCCCCGGGGCACCCATCCCGGAGCCCAGGGCGTTCAGAGTGTCGGACCCGGGCGTCCGGGATCTCGGTCCCGCGGCTTAAGAGCCCCGCAAGTCCAGGCTCCCGCGCCCGGCCGGGACCTCTGATGCCCAGCGCCCCCTCTTGGAGGAGCCGCGGGCCCGGGACATCAGTTCCAAAGCTGGAGGCCCGTCCCTGCACCCGGCTTCGAAGACCGCAGGATCCGTGGCCGCGCATCCCCCCCGGGGTTCTAACTCTTGGGTCCAAGACCCCCTCCTGGAGCCACTTGGGGACCGGACCTCGCTCCTCGACTTAGGGTTGCAGCATCCATCACTTCCAAGAGACCGAGGAGTTTGCGAGTCCTTGCGCTCCCTCCCGGAGGTGACTTCATCCCTGCCCCTAGGGTTCTGGAAACTCTGGAATCCCGGTGCCCCCGACCACACACAGCCCTACCTAGAAGACTCAGGAATTTGGGTCCCCAGCGCACCCGTCTGAGACTCGAGTGGAGGGCTGCAGCATCTTCCACTTAGAACACCGAGACTTCGGACTCTGGATCCCAACTCTCCCCGGATTCTGGAGTCTGAGAGCCCCAAGTTCACGACCCTGAGTCCGGGCAGGGAGCCTCCCCGGGGACCGCGCTTTACGGTCCAGACGCGCCGGACTCCCGACCCTGGGGCCCGCGGCTCCCCGGGAGGTGAGGGGAGGCGAGGGGCCCGGGGCTGGGGGAGGGGGGCGGCGCCGAGGCGGAACAATGAGGGGGCGTGCCGGCGGGGGGTAGCGGAGGCGCCGGCGGGAGTCGGGGGCTGGGACTGCGCTGGGGACGCTCGGACGGTGGGGGACCGCGCTCGGGGTGCCGAGGGACCCGCTGGAGCTGGGTGGAGGGCCCGGGGCCAGCGCCCAGCGCGCAGTCCTGGGCGGGGTAGGGAGCCGTCTGCAGGACCCTGGCATCCGGTCCCCCAGCCTCCGCCCTCCCCTGGGACCCCGCGGCCTCTCCCGCCCACGGTTTTTCCCAGCCCTGCCCCTCGCCCTCAGCTTCAGCCTGAGCCTGAGAGTTCCCAGGATCCCTGAGCCCGGGGGAGGGGGGCCGCCCAGACAGATGGGACTTGCAGACTCGGGCACTTTTGCTGTCTTCGCTCTTTGTCTCAACCTTTCCATCCTTAGCTTGTCTTCTCGGCTCCTCCTCTCTGTCACTTTGTATCTCTTCTAGTAGTCACTCCGTGGGGCCCCTCCTCGAGTTCTATATCAACTTTCAGCACCCTATCTGTGAGTTGGAGCGGCAGCTGAAGCCCCTCAAGTCCAGTTCCCAAGACCTGGGTGTCTTTGCAGGTCCGAGTTGTGCCACTCAGCCATGCCCGAGGGAGCCCGGGGACTCAGCCTGTCCAAACCCAGCCTTAGGCTGGGGTGTGGCCACCAAGGAGAAGCTTGCGACTGCGCAGCTGTGAGTGATACGCCGACAGGTGAGAAGTCCAGACAGGTGGAGCCTGTGGGCATTTGTCCCTTCCTTCAGGACACTGAGCATCCCTTTGTGGCCGAACCAGGGCCAAGACAGTGCAGTGCAGCCCTGTCGCCACGGAGGAGACCGATTAGCCGAGAATTCGGGAGAAAGGAAGGAGTTGGGCACAAAAAGTGCTCTTCTGCATGCAGGGAACAGTGTGTGCAAAGGCCCACAGCTGCGCCTTGAAGTAATTGGACAAAGTTGAGTGTGAAGGGGTGGGGGCTGTTAAGAGCTGTGCCGAGGAAAGGGAACTGGGTGAAGGGGCCGCCATGGCTGCCTTGGACCGGGCCCTATGGATCTGAGGAATTTGAACTTGAACTAAAAGGGCTATGCTTGTGGACAAGGTCGGTTGGACAGACTCATGATTGCTGTGGTTCATGGAGAAGGTGAATTAAAGCAATGGAGGCCCAAGGCTCAGAGGGGAAGGACCGAACTGGACAAGTTAGGGTAGTGGAGCAGAGACCTGTGGGAACTGCCAGCTGGGTGAGAGAGAGTTCGGGGGTCATAGGAACATGTGTCTGGGAAGCCCTGACCACTCGCTCCCTTCCTTAGCAGCCCCTCCAGCCCCCGCCATGGCTTCCCCGAGGGGTTCCGGCAGCTCCACCTCTCTGAGTACTGTAGGCTCTGAGGGGGACCCATCGCCAGCCTGCTCAGCCTCCAGGCCGGAGCCCCTGCCAGAACCCCCCATACGGCTGCACCTGTCGCCTGTGGGAATCCAGGGTTCGGTGAAACCCTCCAGGCTGGAGCGAGTGGCCAAGGAGATCGTGGAGACGGAGCGGGCGTATGTCCGGGACCTTCGCAGTATTGTGGAGGTGAGGTGGACAGGCATCTGAAGACACTGGGGACCCAGGCCAGGCCCCTCTGTAACCTCTCTCATCCTCACAGGACTACCTGGGTCCTCTGATGGACGGCAGGGCCCTGGGGCTGAGCACAGAGCAGGTGGCCACGCTGTTTGCCAACATCGAGGACATCTATGAGTTTAGCAGGTCAGGGACGGGTGGGGACCCACACTGGCTGCTGTGGCGGGGGAGGGGCTGTGTCCTGACACTAACCTGAGTGCCTCATAGTGGCCCTGTGTAGGTTGGCGTGTGAGGTGTGGGGACAGTGAGGACTCAGGGTGGGAAAGAAATGGAACCACACGGATACCGTTCGTTAAACTGGGATCTTAGACCTGAGTCAAGCCTGGGCTCTGAGAATCATGGGGGGCCTGGGTGCCTAGAACTCCCCCAGATTTAGCACTGCGATTCCCTGGGCCTGGGACACCAGCAGCTCTGGCCAATCCCTGGCTCGCCCTGGTGAAGGTGGGGGGCACTGGGACCCAAGAGTGACATCTCAGAATCACAAGAGAAGCTTTTGTGGTTGGTTTTATTATTTGAGACGGACAGGTCTCGTGTAACTAGGCTGGCTTGGAACTTGCTGTGTACCTGAGGGCAACGTTAACTTAGCCTTTCCCTGCCCTACCTCCCAAGCGCCGGAATCACAGGCATGCGCCACCACACCCAGCTAGTCCTGGATTTTTTTGAAATAGGGTCTCCCGGTGTGGTTCGAGCTGGCCTCGAAATTGAGATCTTCCTGCCTCAGCCTCCTGCGGGGTGAGATTACAGGTGTGCAGACCATGCCTGGCTTGTAACAGAGTCCTTTTTTAAATTTAAGACCATCCATCTATTTGGGAAGTCCCAGCACCCTCTTTCCCAGTGTGGGGTCACTCCCTGGGTGCCGGCTGTGAGAGGGTTGTCAGGCTGGAGAATAGGAAGCCGTGCAGAGACAGAATGAGTGGGGTAGGCTCTCCCGCGTAGCCATCTTAGGCTTCTTCCCGTCTGTCTGGAACTCCCGAGTCTCGTCCCGGGACGAGGAGGGCCGAGGAGGCCGAGGAGGGACAGGGAGGCTGTGACCCTTCACTCTCCCCTCCCCCGCAGTGAGCTCCTGGAGGACCTGGAAGGCAGCAGCAGTGCTGGGGGCATCGCTGAGTGCTTTGTGCAGAGGGTGAGTGTGAGGCAGGGGCTGAGCCCAGCTCAAGGCGAGGGGACAAGCGGGCCGGGCTGAACTTGGCTTCCTGGGGGGCCGTGGGAAGCTAGGCGGTGCTGACTCCCGTGTCCCCACAGAGCGAGGATTTTGACATCTACACATTGTACTGCATGAACTACCCAAGGTGAGGCAGAGGGAGTCCCTGCTTGGCCCCAGGCCGTGCCCATGAGCCGATGTGCCAGCCGCCACCCCTACCTTCCAACCCTGCCAGAGCCCAGGTGCAGCCCTGCCGTGCCTTGATAGTCACTTACCTGACCCCCTTAGCTGCCCTGACCTGTCACCCCTGAACCCTGGCCGCCAGCTGACCCCTCCCAGCCTGCTGGAGCACCAGCCACCGCTGATCTGTGCTGTGCCTGCAGCTCCCTGGCCCTGCTCCGAGAGCTATCGCTGTCCCCGCCGGCCACTCTGTGGCTGCAGGAACGTCAGGCCCAGCTCCGTCACTCCCTGCCTCTGGAGAGCTTCTTGCTGAAGCCTGTTCAGCGCATCCTGAAGTACCATCTCCTGCTGCAGGTCAGCTGTGGCCCCTGGGCCTGGCTTGTTGCGAGGGACCCCTAGTTCCCTGGACTGTGTGGTCTGCCCTGCCCCTCCCTTCCTTCCATGTTGCTCTGTCTCTTGTCACTCAGTTTTCCTTCTCTTTTTCTCCCTCACCCTGTGCGCCCTGCTGGATGACGGTCAGGAACTGGGCAAACACTGGGCGGAGGGCCCAGACGCCGGAGGGCGAGAGGTGGTAGAGGAAGCTATTGTGTCCATGACTGCAGTGGCCTGGTACATCAATGACATGAAGCGCAAGCAAGAGCATGCAGCTCGCCTGCAGGTGGCCCCCGGGGTGGGCTGGGCTGGCTAGCCGGGGACCAAGCTGGGGGACAGGGCTCAGCAGCAGTATCCTGTCACTGACACCTCTGTTTTGGCCTGTGTGTGTGCGCCACCAACCGGGCCTGTCTGTGCCTGGTGTGGTCCCCGGCAGGAAGTGCAGCGGCGGCTGGGTGGCTGGACCGGCCCAGAGCTCAGTGCCTTTGGAGAGCTGGTGCTGGAAGGCACCTTCCGTGGGGGCGGCGGGGGAGGCCCGCGGCTGAGAGGGGGTGAGCGCCTGCTCTTCCTGTTCTCCCGGATGCTGCTTGTGGCCAAACGTCGGGGGCCTGAATACACCTACAAGGGCCACATCTTTGTAAGTATGGGGTAGGGTCTGGGCTGGATAGTTACAACTGAAAAACGTTCAATGTAGCATCACCTGAACACCCAAAGGGTGCTCTAGGGGACAGGACAGCCTGGCTTCCAAGGACCATATTTAGCTGGGCCCAGTGACGTTAGACCCGTGATTCCAGTTACTGAGAAGGCTGGGACAGGAAGATCAAAAGTTCAGGGCTAGCCTGGGCTGCAGAGAAGGCGCAAGGCCAATCTGGGCAACTTGACACTCTGAATCAGAAAGTAAAACCTGGAAGCTGGGTGTGGTGGCTTACACCTGGAAACTGAGCACTCAGGGGACTGGAGCGAGGTCACAGCAAGTTTGAGGCCAGCCAGACCTATTAAGTGGGCTGGAGGCCAGTGTAGGCTACATAGTGAGATCCTGTTTCAAAAACAGATCCCAGTGCAGGCGATCTGTGTCTGCTCGAGGCTAGCTAGGACTATGGAGTGAGCAAGACCCTGTCCCAAAACAAAACACAACCAAGAAAGCAGCAGTGAACACAGGAGGTAGCTGCATGGCTCATGGCCCGAGAATAAAGATGCCATGGGCCTCCAGTGTGGCACCTGGTGGTGTGTGCGCTAAGTCCCCCACATACACATACACTAGTAAATAAATGCCAAATAAATGAAAATGGAAGGGTTGGAGATAGAGCTCTTATAAAGGATCCCCATCTGATCCCAGCATTTACACTGGGCTACTCAAAACCAGCAGAACTCCAGATACAGAGGATCCACAGCCTCTGGCTTCCAGGGACACATGCATGAACTCACATGCACATAGCACAGTCCCCGGACATATAATTTGTTTGTATTTGAGACATGGTCTCACATCTCACTAAGTAGCTATGGGTGGCCTCAAACTCACTGTGTGAACCAGGCTGGCCTTAAACTCACAGAAACCTGCCTGCCTCTGCCTCCCAAGTGCTGGGATTAACAGTGAAAGGATTTTTAGTTTGAAAGAAAGCAAAAGCAGGGAGTCCGACCTCCAGAACGAAGGGCAGATTGAGCCATGTGGCAGTGGCCCACGTTTTATTTGTGTGTAAGAGAGAGTGAAGAACAAGAGGATGACTCTCACAGTTCAGTTCTGTCCTGCCACCCGCTGGGGACTGAGCTCGGCTCTTCAGGCTGGCACACAAGCACTTCTGCCCCTACTAAGCTTTCTCTCCACTCTTCATAGTCTAGCTGCCTGCAACGTGCTGTGCATGCCAGACTGACTTCACACTTGCTCTCATTCTCCTGCCTCGGGCTCCCAAGTGATGTGATTACAGGGGTAGGCCATCATACCCAGCCAGCATTTTCCTTGAATTAAAAAAATGGGAGAGCTAGCCAGGCAGTGGTGGCGCACACCTTTACTCCCAGCACTCAGACGCAGAGGCAGGCAGATCTCTGTGAGTTCGAGGCCAGCCTGCCTTACAGAGTGAGATCCTGGACAGCCAGGACTGTATAAAAAAACACTGTCTCGAAAACCAAAAAAAAAAAAAAAAAATTAAGACTTTGAGACCAGCCCGAGCTACATAGTGAGACTCTGACTTTTTGAAAATGTGGGGTATAGAGGGTGTCTTAACGGGTGTCAGGAAGATGAGGAAGTAGGAGTACATGTTCAGGAAGGTTTGGTAAGGCAGTGAGCCGAGCCTGGCCTGGTGGGGTCGGGCAACACAGCCCGTGAGGAGTGCTTTCTAGGAGGTCGGAACCCCAGACTTTTCTGAAGGATGTCTCTGCCAGGAGGGCCTCGGCACCCCACCGTCTCTGTTCTGTCCTCAGTGCTGTAACCTGAGTGTCAGCGAGACTCCGCGAGACCCCTTAGGGTTTAAGGTGTCGGACCTGACCATCCCCAAGCACAGACACCTGTTCCAGGTATGCAGCAGCTGGGTTGGGAGATACCCACCCCTGCCTTGCCGCAGCTCAGATCCCTGACCTTCACCAACCTTACTTACCCCAGGCCAAGAACCAGGAAGAGAAACGGCTGTGGATTCACTGTCTCCAGCGCCTTTTCTTTGAGAACCATCCGGCTTCCATCCCTGCCAAGGTGTGGACCTGCCACAACAAGTGGCCTGGAACCATGGCAGACTCCGTGGCAGACCCAGTGGGGGTGGGGCACTCTGGCTACTTTGATGGCTAGTCCTGCAGAATAGGCTTCCCGGCTTTGGGATGCAGCACACCCTTGCTTTGTGATCTTGGGCAACAAGATCCTTGGCCTTGGATTTCCTCACCTGCAGGAGTAGCGCCTACATTGTAGGGCAGTGGTGAGGATTACCTTTATCAGCCTGGCATTAAAAGCAATCATTCATTCCTGGGAATGGTTGGTGCTCACAGTCTGCTGTCCGAACCCCATCCCTCCAAAATCTGTCTTCCTGTCTTTCAGGCAAAGCAAGTTCTTTTGGAAAACAGCCTGCACTGTGAGTCCGGGGGTCTGGGCTGTGGTCCTGTGCCAAAAGAGGCGATGTTTCCAAGAAAGTAGACGGTTAGTCCCTCAACTCTCCCCCACAGGTACTCCAAAAAGCAAAACATTCCCAGAGCCCCCCACATCCCCACTGGATTCTCCCCGCCCTCGAGACGCTCGGAGTTTCACCCCTGGAAGAAGAAACCCAGGTAACAGAGAGAATATGGGTTCGAGTCTTTAGGCACCCCCCAAGGCTGAAGGGCTGGGCTCACACATCTCTCCAACAGCTCCATCTCCAAGACTCTCTGGCAGTCGCCGTGGTCGTAGGCAGTCTGGTGAGTATTCACCACTTCAGGGGGACCCAGGGGTCCAATGGCCTGGCCTCCTGATGTCCTGTGTCCTTCCCCCAGAGCCAGCAAAGGAATCTTACGTCATTTTTCCCCAGAACGGTTAGTGACTGGTCCATGTCTGTCAGTCTGTCCTTGTCTCTTTCCAGGGATACCTGGGGGTGAGGGTGGGGGCGTGGAGAGGGAGGAGCAGCTGGTTGGTTACAGGGAATGATATCCTGTGTCTCACTCTTGTCTCTTCTCCTTCACTTTTCCATCCTCAGAGAAGCCTCAAGTCAAGGTAAGAGATGAGAAATGCCCTGGGTCAGAGACTGGGGACCTGAATTCCTAGCTCAAGTGGAGACGAAAATTTAAATTCCACAATCCTGGGTCAGAATAAGCACGTATTAAATGCCCGGGGATATAGCTAAATTGGTTCAGTGCTTACCCAGCATGCTCTAGGTTTGAGCCCTTCCGCAGCTCATGAAACTTGATGTGATGGCACAAACCTGAAATCTCAGCACAAGGGAGATGGAGGCAGGAGGGTCAGGAGTTCAAGGTCATCCTTGACTCCCACCAAGTTCTAGTCTAGCCTGGACTATGTGAGAGAGTCGGGGCAGTAGGCCAGGTGTCCTGGCAGATGGCCGCAGTTCAGGCGCACTGGGAACCGAAGCAATCGAAAGTTTGAAGGAGCACGGGCCGGTTATCTGTCACACGCCTTTCATCCCAGCTGGGAGGCAGAAGCAGGCAGATCTCTGAGTTCAAGGCCAGCCTGGTCTACATACTGAATTTTAGACCAGCTCAGGCTACATAGCAAGACCCTCTCTCTCAAAAAAGTGGGGGGTGGTTTTGGGGGAATAACACACAGTGGTCGAGTGTCTGGTATAATGAGTCCCTGGGTTCCATCCTCTACACCTCATTTTAAAAATGGGTGGTGGTGAAGCCAAGCTCCCTGTGGTAGGAAGGCCGGGAGGATTAGAAGTTCAAGGCCAGCCTGGGCTATATAAGGCCCTTTCCAAAAAAAGGATAAGAAGGTGGGGTGGGGATCCTTGACTTCCCCTATGCCCAGGAGGAGGGGCTGGGAATTTGGAGGACAGATCACTCCTGGCTCTGGCTTCCCACCCCTCCCTCCTCACAGCATGCTGGCAGTGAAGGGGAACTCCATCCCCCATCTGAGTCGCAGCCACCAGTCTCTGCTTCCGGCCCCCCGGAAGACCTGGAGGATGCTGGGCCTCCCACATTGGATCCATCAGGGACCTCCATCACCGAGGAAATTCTAGAACTGCTTCACCAGAGAGGCCTCAGGGATCCGGGGGTGAGCTACAACTGCCATCCCAGCAGCCTTGGAGCACGGTCCAGGTCAGCCCACCACCCCGTCCCCCTGACATCTTGGCTTTCTTTGTGTACCCACTACAGCCAGCCACCCACGACATTCCCAAGTTCCCCAGAGACTCCAGGGTGCCAGCTGAAAGTGAACCCCTCCCGTTCCAAGCCCTGCCCAGCCGAGAGTCTTCAGAAGAGGAGGAGGATGAAGAGTTAGAAGCAGATGAACGGGAGCCTTCCCCACTCCATGTCTTAGAGGGGCTGGAAGGTTCCAGTCCAGCTGAAATTCCCTGCATGCCCAGCCTTACCAAGATTCCCAGCGACATGCCCAGCCTTCCAGAAATTCCCGAGGCTCCCTGCCTTCCGAGTCTCTCTGACATCCCTAGTGTTTTTGAGATGCCATGCCTTCCACCCATGTCCAGTGTGCCTGACATTCCCAGCTTGACCAGCACCCCTTCCTTCCCCTGTGGCTCCTGGCTCCCTGGACCCCTGCAGGAGCCCGCCCTGCCTCTGGCCACCAGGAGGGAACTGTTGACTGGAAGCAGTCCGGGAAGACTGGGCGAGCCACCCTCGGAAAGCAGAGTGGGGCTGGAGGAAGATGCAGAAGGCGTGTCCTTCCCTGCCATGCAGACCCAGGACGGCACCCAAGTCCAGGGGTTCCCGGAGGAACTGGAATACCGCTCTTGTTCAGAAATCCGGAGCGCCTGGCAAGCGTTGGAGCAGGGGCAGCTCTCCCGGCCTGGCTTTCCTGAGCCGCTGCTGATCCTGGAGGACTCGGATCTTAGTGGGGGCAGCACCAGCGGGAAGGCAGGAGTGCCACGCTCCGAGCGCTCGGCGTCCCGGGTGCGAGAGCTGGCTCGGCTCTACAGCGAGCGGATTCAGCAGATGCAGCGAGCTGAGACAAGGGCATCCACCAATGCACCCCGCCGCCGACCTCGAGTCCTGGCCCAACCCCAGCCATCCCCCTGCCCACCACAGGAGGAGGCTGAGCCAGGTGACAAACTTTTTTTTTCTCCTGCAGTGCTAGGGCCTGGGACCTCTACCACTGAGCCACACCCCCAGCCCCTCACTGGGGGACTCTAGGCAGGAGCTCTACCACTGAGCCACACCCCCAGCCCCTCACTGGGGGATTCTAGGCAGGGCCTCTACCACTGAGCCACACCCAGCCCCTCACTGGGGGATTCTAGGCAGGGGTTCTACCACTGAATCACACCCCCAGCCCCTCACTGGGGAATTCTAGGCAGGGGCTCTACCAC